AAATCTATTTTTTTAAATTTATTCCTATTCCATAGGTATGAAAATACATGTACATGTAAAAAGTTACTGTGAAATTGTACATCACACATTTGGTCATCAGCACCAAATACATGTATAGCAAACTTATGCTCTTATTCTTTATGTCATTGGTTATGTGGTTGCTTTGTGAAATTTTTTTTAATAAATCATTGTCACACTTACACTGGTGGTGTTGCAATTGACCCTAAAGAGTCATGACAGTATCTAAAACATGGAATTTACCAGCTTATGTATCCTACAGTGTTTACAACAAAAATTCCTCAGAGTAATAGAATTGCACTTTGAACCTGTGAAAATGTTTAAATTGTAATTATTTTTATTAAAACATAGAAGAATAAATAAAAAAATTACATCTAAAAACAAATATTTTGAGTACTTACAGTGTTATGAGTAATAGTAAAGTTATTTAATAAAATTTTGAATATAACTCTCTAAAAGATCATGGCATGCACCCTTTAACCTACCTGCTTTATCGAGTGCCCGTATAGAGAACAAGACTAAAGACATTACCCTTAATCCAGAATATGGAGGTGCCCATTATTGCAAGATTTATTTTGGTTACAAATAGTAGAGAAAAGAAAGAGACTGAAAAGGTCTGTCCTTAATAGTGCGGTGCTCATTAATTGAGGTTCTACTGTATGTTGTGGTTACATTTTTTTTAGTATATAGTAGTATCCAATATATTATAGTGTTGTTAAACTGATCAGTGTTTGTTTTCTATGTATGTTATAGCTACATTTTTAAATAGTACATAGTAGTATCCAGTACGTTAGTTTTGTTAAACTGATTAGTGTTTGTTTTCTATGTATGTTATAGCTACATTTTTAAATAGTACATAGTAGTATCCAGTACGTTAGTGTTGTTAAACTGATCAGTGTTTGTTTTCTATGTATGTTGTGGTTAAATTTTCAAATAACATATATTAGTATCCACTATATTATAGTGTTGTTAAACTGACCAGTGTTTGTTTTCTATGTATGTTATAGCTACATTTTTAAATTGTACGTAGTAGTATCCAGTACATTAGTTTTGTTAAACTGATTAGTGTTTGTTTTCTATGTATGTTGTGGTTAAATTTTTAAATAACATATATTAGTATCCACTATATTATAGTGTTGTTAAACTGACCAGTGTTTGTTTTCTATGTATGTTATAGCTACATTTTTAAATTGTACATAGTAGTATCCAGTACGTTAGTTTTGTTAAACTGGTTAGTGTTTGTTTTCTATGTATGTTGTGGTTAAATTTTTAAATAACATATATTAATATCCACTATATTATAGTGTTGTTAAACTGACCAGTGTTTGTTTTCTCTGTGCATTGTACAGGGCAAGACAGATTTTTAAACCACATTCCAGTAGACAAGCCCACTTTTAATCTACCTACCTGTTTCACCTTGTCCTTCATAATAAATATTTCTTTGAAGACTTGATGTCCATTATTAAATTACCAGCATTCCTGATAGCATAAAACTATTATTATTTTCATTTATTTTAGATAAAAAAAATTCTTAATTTTATGTCTCAGATATATTCTTAACGTATGTTAAGTTTTGTGTGTACATGAAACTTTTACTTTAATTACATTAAAAATTATATTAACTCTTTCCCTATGGGGTCTGTACATCACACTGACCTTGTAACCACCAGAGTTTCCATGCAATAACTTTTAATATTGTATATGTATCTTGACAAAATTTGACAAGCTTTTAGTAAATATTACAAGTCTTTTATACACAAAAGGTTGATTTTTTAATTAAGTATTTATAGTAAAGATTTGTCTGTGAATATACGGAGTCAGAGTGTTGACTACTTTGAGTCCAAAGTGATTTTCCTGCTACGATTAAAAATACTTTTCTTCACACGAAAATTTTCAAATTTCATTTCTGTAAGCTCTAAAACCTCCTAAATAAATATCAAACTTTTTTTTTTCAGTGAAACTTTATTTATATTGTGTGTTTTTTTTCTCTACATTAACTCTATGTGGACTTGATTGATTTGACCGACCATGTAACCAGCATAAAAATATACAAAATAAATCTAAATTACCATTTTTTCTTTCTAGAACGACTGCTAATTCTAACAGAAAACTACAGGTGTTTATCCTAAATAGCTTAAGGCTCAAAACAGTTTACATATTTTTCTACTTAATTTTATTGTTAATAATTCTGACATCCAAGTTGTAAATCACTTTGTGAATGCATAGCTCAAGTTACCATATTGAATGATGTAACACACAAGCTACTCGAGAGCATGCCTTGTGGAAAATTAGTATTATTATGATTTTTCATTATTTTATCTAATTTAATGTTATCTAACCTAGTGAATTTATAATTTTATATTTTACTTTTATAACCATAAATAAAAATATTCATGAAAAACAAGAAATATAGTTACATTTGACCTTGTTTTTTTTTACTGGCAGTTGCTGATGAAATTTAAGTCTACTTTTATAGTACTAGTATGCTGAATAATGTTTATTGACTTAATTAATGCAATTAAGAACAATGAATAATAACATGCACAAAGCAGACAGTGTCCTATAACTATTAAAATTTAACTAGTTTTCTAACTATTACATAAGAGCGTTAAAATAATTTCCTAAACTTTTCGACCTGAACACTGCAAGAGAAATTTTGAAACTGAAGACGAAATAGACAATACTCTGTACTGAAAGCAGTATGATATATTATGTCATTTGATGGATTAAAACTTTATCTTTATTGGTTATAAATGATATAAACTGTCAGTGAGAATTATTGACAATTTGTGAGAGAGGATGTGACAGGTGAGCAAGGCAAGTGGGTCTGACCTTTTAGTTTACGTTTACGTAAACAAGGAAGATTGAAGGCTATAAAATTAGACTTTGCCTTATTAATATTTATATTATATAATGAGTAATTTACATTAAACTCTGTACTTCAGAGAGGGATGGTAAATAAATTTGAGAACGGAAAAAACAAATGTCACTGTTTCATACAAGGAGAGATTGATGATTTATTTAAATATTTCCATTTAAAATTAAGAAATTAAAACTTTTGTAATGTTAAACTTTGATTTAGTAACTGTTATTTTATGCCAAGTTTAATCATCTACATTAAATTTTGAATATGACTGTAAAAGGTTGTGACGTGTACTTTAACCTCTCCATAGCAAGAGGGTTAAATAAAAAATTAGCATCATCTTTACTTCTTCCCTAATTTTATCTTTCATAGACTCACTAATCATATCAGTAAATTATTTTATTATTTTTTGTGTAAATAAGTATCATCAAATTCTACTCCAGATTTATGTATCAATTCACAGTTAAGTTTATTATCTGAAAAGTTTTACCTTGATTTGTATTAGGTCATCAAGAAATTAATGTCATGTTTTGGAACACTTTCATTACCCCCCCCAAAAAAAAACAAACGTATATCATGTATAATAGTTAAATGAACCACCTAAACGTCACGTTAGTGTAGCGTATATAGTGTGTAAAGTTTTGTATACTCTAATCCCTTAAAGTGATGGCACATGACATGACACACATTTGACATGTAATGCTGTTTGAATACAAGAA